ATATTTATATATTATTAATACGAGTATTTTCATAAAAAGTGTGTATACTAAATTTAATATATATAATATTTTATGAAAAATATAATTTCTCTTTGAATAAATAATAAATTTAATTAATATATTTTGTTTATAATATAATTAATGTATATTTCAATTAATAAATATATTTTCTTTAAGATATTAATTATGATCTTGGGCTTGGCAATAGCCCAAGAACAAAATTATCGTAATAATTATCAAGAAGATGAACGACAAAATCCATCTGGTACCGATAATAGACGTGGTTCAACTACAACACCGATTCCTATTTTACATTGGAATAAACAACAAGAACACGATGGAACATATAAAACTAGGTATGAATTAATATCTTTAAAAATCACACACATCAATGTTCAAATCAATGTTCACTTTTGATCCCATATACGCGTGACAAATAAAATGATTTTATTTAAACAAAATTACAAGCAAAAAAAAGCACACGTCAGAGGTAATAACAGATTGTATTCTATTTGAAATGGTTTTACCATGGATATTCTTTCATAGTTACGAAACTGGGAATAATATCATTGCCGAGGAAAGTGGTTACATCAAAACGGTAGGTGAAGGTGCAGAACAAGGAGAGGCATTGGTACAACAGGGCAGTTATTCCTACATGAGTCCTGAGGGCCAGTTGATCACCATTCATTATACTGCAGACGAAACAGGCTTTCACGCATCCGGTGATCATATTCCCACGCCACCACCAGTAAGCGAAGAAATTCAGAAAGGCCTCGACCTCATCTTTGCAGGCATTCGACAACAAGAGGTAATTACGTAAATATATATACTTTTACATACACTTACATATCTATATATATATATATATATATATATGAATGTATGTATGTATGCTATCTGCAACCTTTTTCCTTTTTTTATCGTTCATCCCATTTATATATTAATATTAATTTAATATATAAATATATTTATATACTTAATATGCTACCTGATACCTTTTCCTTTTTATTTGTTCATAAAATTGTAATATAGATATATTTTATCTTATATATATATATATATATATATTAGG